TGTTTGTTTCCAGGGATGTTGTTTTTCATGAAACAATTTTCCCATTCCAATCCATAAAACCATCTGTTAGTAATTCACATATACAGTCTTCTTCCTCATATGATTTTTCTTATTTAGATTGGGATCTTTTATCCTCTGATATACCAACACCATTATCCATTCCAACCTCTTCTTCTACAGAAATATCCTTTCTGATCATTAAAACTCTGATTCTGATCCTATATCACATCAATCTTCACCTACACTTAAATCTTCACCATCAATACCATTGGTAAGAAGTTCCACCAGACAGACTAAACCACCTGTTTGGATGAAGGATTTTGACATGGGAAACCTAGTTACAGAACCTGATTCAATCTCAATACCTATTCCTACTTCATCACCATATACTCCCAACACTTATCCATATCATATATCACCTTTGTTTACCCCCATTCACATGTCTTTCTTGGCTCGTATCAGTAATTTCAAAGAACCTAGGTGTTTTTCACAGGCTCAATTTCATCCTGAGGGGATTAAAGCAATGCAGTTGGAATTGGAGGCCTTGGAGAATAATTATACCTGGACATTGACTACTTTACCACCTGGAAAGACATCAATTGGTAGCAAGTGGGTTTATAAGATCAAACACCACTCTGATGGCTCAAATGATAGATATAAAGCCAAGTTGGTGGCTAAAGGTTATAATCAGATAGAAGGGGATGACTTCTTTTATTGTTTCTCTCTAGTGGTTAAGGTAGTTACAGTGAGATTGCTGTTGGCCATAGCAGCAGCCAAAGGATGGGCTTTACATCAGATGGACATCAATAATGCCTTCCTGCATGGGCATTTTGAAGAGGAGGTTTATATGATCCCACCAGAAGGTTATGACAAGGCTTTACCTGGGCAAGTCTGTAAGCTGAATAGATCTTTGTATAGTCTGAAACAGGTTTCCAGACAATGGAATCTGGAATTCACTACTCATATTCAGAGATATGGATTTAAACAGTCAATGAATGATCCTTGTTTATTTACAGGGACTTTGGAAGGGCATTTTACTGCCTTAATTGTATATGTGGATGATATCATCATCATAGGATCAAGTGAAGAAGTTAATTCCAAGGTAAAACAGTACTTGGATGCAAAATTTACTATCAAAGAGTTTGGATTTGCCAAGTATTTCTTTGGTATTGAATTAGCAAGATCTTCTGATGGGTTGTACATCAATCAGAGAATGTATATTCTTGATATTCTACAAGACACTGGACTGGTGGGATGCAAAGCTACTACAACACCATTTCCAAAGGGCTATCATTTTTCAGATACTCCTGGACCAGCTTTAACAGACTCTTCTAGATATAGAAAATTGGTTGGCCAGCTCCTTTACTTGCATTTTACCAGGCCTGATATTGCTTTTGCTGTGCAGCAGCTTAGCAAGCATGTTCATAAACCTTGTGAGGAGCTTTGGACAGCCTTGATCCATGTATTGAAGTACTTGAGGGATCTGTCTCACATGGCCTGTTCCATCCTGCCACTAACTCATTCCAAGTTTATAGCTTCAGTGATGCTGACTGGGGATTAAACCCTAACCACAGGAAGTCAGTAACAGGTTTCTGTGTCTTTTTTGAAAGCTCTCTCATCTCATGGATAGCCCAGTAGAAACCCACAATTTCCTGTTCTTCTTCAGAAGCTGAATACAGAAGCCTCAGTTACACCACCAGGGAGCTTCTGTGCATCAGTTACCTCCTTGCTGACTTTGATATTACAGTTCAGTTGCCCATACCTCTTTACTTTGACAATGCTTCCGCCATTTACATCACATAGAACTCGGTCTTTCATGAACGTACCAAACATTTGGAGATTGATTACCATTTGGTATGTGATCACTACAATAAAGGGTTTTTAATTCCTCTCTTCACTCTTTCAAAAGATCAGCTTACCGACCTCTTCACCAAATCTTTACCACATCCTCAGTTTCTGCAGCTGTTGGACGAGCTTGGATTCCTTCAGTGTCCAGCTTGAGGGGGAATACAGATATTGTACATATTGTATATATTGATTAGGACTTAGTAGTAAATTTGTAAAGTTCTTCTAGGCTGAATGTATGTAACGTCAAACTAGAAGGGTAGAATTATAAAGTTAGTATAGTTAGTTTTTAGACACATTAAATATCCGTATCTTTGTACAAATTAATACACGATTAATACAATTCAGTTTTTAATACAAAAACACATAGTAACACACAGTTCATGAATGTTCTTGAATTCTTGATCGATTTTCTCTTATTTTGATTCTGTATTTTGTAGAACATTGTTGTCGGCTGTGTGTCCCTGAGGAAATTTTTGAATAATTAGCATATAGCCATCGCGATCATTTTATGTGTGTAGCTTTTGAATGTACAAAGTCAGCTTACTCAAACGTAATGATTCCACACTGAATCAATACCCTAAAACTTTGGAACTTTCGTAGTTGAAAACTTGAAGTCCCTAAAGAAGTTTAAATATATCTTTAATAATGCATTCACAATATCATAATAAAGTGATCTAGGAACTTTCTGCAAAGAAACTGAGGTTGTGGAGGTTACGTATATATGTATATCACAAATCGAATTTTTGCCCACTATTGATTATGTAATATCGTTTGTTCGGGTATATATCATAAAATTATTTAAATATTATTAATTGATTCACCATTAAAATTGACTAGAACATATCCTAATTGTTGTCTCATATTAACGTAACGAAAATATTAATTCAGGTATTTTAAAGTTTTATTACGGTCATATTCACAAAATAAATTGAAAAAAGTAAACATATATCAGTATCATCAAGTTGATAGTATTAAATTCAAGTAAAGGAGCAGTGCGCCAATGGCAACCTCCCATAAAAGAGGAGGCTGCTAGTTGCTACAAAGGCAAATCATGGATTTCGGATCAATTTGAATAATATTTAGCTGTGCCCGATTTTTATCTGCCTGCAAAGCTACGAGTCTATGACCACAAAGTATAGTATAGTTTAAGTACTATAGTGGATATTTGTGATTTGATATTGAAATTGAAGCAACCAAAAGAGGACTTAAAATACTTGCATCTTTGGAATCTACACAAAAACAATTCTATGGTACCATGAATTTGCGTCGTAAGTGGAATCCTAGCTCCCACAGAAATATGTTAGGTACGTAATCTTTGTAAGACATGGATCCATCCCTATCTCTTTGTTTTCGTTGTTTAATGTTTGGCTTTATAGGTCAGGAGGGTCGACGTCTATCTACTATCCATATCATCATCCACGATTATTATCTGCACAATCCTATTGATCAAATTCGAGGAAATTTTTATCCATTTTATTTTAGTGCTTTTAGTAACCACTCCTCTCATCCCGCATTTTAAGATGTTATTAATAGGTTTAAGATTTATGCCTTCTTTTTGTCCGTAAATCCCATTGGTTTAACCCGAATGGTTCAACAGCCTTCGTGGATTAGGCAACTTAACCATCAGACTGAAAAAAATAAATATAAATAAAAGAGAAAAAAAAGTAGAATAAAGGCGTTCATTTGCATCATTTGTTTCATCGTATGTTTGTTTTCTGTCCTTTTTTTTGTTTGTTTTTTTTTTTTTGCATTAATATTGCGGATTAATCATCACCATATGTTAGACTAATCAATATATTAACATCATCAAAGCAATTTAATCATGAAGTTTCTTCCAATTAGCCAAACTACATTCAATAATCCATTGGAGGAATCATGTGTTTGTAGCTGTAGCTGCAATTATGTGATGCTTCAATATAGTACTCATAGTTTACTCGTACTCCCTCCGGTTCTTAATATAAGACATTTTAATTTGTCATAGGATTCACTTAGTATGTATTTTTAATTAGCAAAAAAACCTTAAGAATATATTTTCACATACGTTATGTTCTCTTGATTATTAAGAAATGTTTTTAAGTTTTTTTTTGTTAATTAAAAATCCGTACTAGGTAAAACCTAGAACAAATCAAAATTACTTTTATTAAGGACAGAAGGGAGTATTATTAATGGAGCAAGGATGTCTTAAAAATTTATCAAGATACCATTTGTGCAACATCGCTATGCTGTGTCTGTTTTGTAGTTACTAAACATGCGAGTATTCCATTAGTCAGATTATTATATGTTAACGCGAACACTATATTTATTTGTCCCTTTCTAGTTAGTATATACACAACATGAAAGAGCCAATAGCTCGTTAAGAATCATGCATGCAGCACGATGGGAAGAAAACTAATAATTTATCTCATTAATTAAAATAGTTTATTTAATATTTAATTTATTCGTCAAATCATTTTTGTTAACATAACAAAACTTAACATGCTTATAAAAAAATTTAAACAAGGCCGAAATCAAATGAATATCTACTAGTACTACTCCCTCTATTTATAATGCTTGTTCAATTTGAAATTTTATCTTCATTCAAAATTATTTAAAGTGACAGTTCAAGTACGACAACAATTTCGAGACAGAGAGTAAAAACTATTTTCTCTGTATCAAAACACCAAAACGTAGTTTATATTGAGTTTTTAAGATATGTAATAGTATAAATTTCAAAACACAATGTAAATTATTTTCTTGGACACAGAGAATAAATATTTAACGATAAATATCTCACAAAATTTAATTACATAAATATAAATATAATTTTATTTTTTACTTTTATATTCATTTCAAACTTAATGCTTCAAATTTTTTTGTAAGACACAACTTTACTTTTTGATTGAAAATAGATATATACATACGTTATCACCGTATAATGAAATGCCGAAAATATTTTTCTTAGATGATTGTTCCGATTCAACAAATTAATAATGGGCCTCCGTGCCAGCCCAATCATGTGAAATGCTTTTAGTTTGCTATCGTCACATGTAAAACCAGCGTTGGGCTAGAAGGCCTACTTGGATATCCTCCTTCCCTGGTTCTCCGTCGGACGTTCAAACTTGTTTTCCCTCTCAACAATCTTTCTGCAACACGAGCTTCAGGTGTTTGTGAAAATGCGGCAACGAAGTTTATCTGGAAAAGAAAATTTATCCTTCACAGCACCTCGGAGATCTTCAAGAATTAGTCAGGAAAATCAACCGAAATCAGAAGCTCCTAACACGCCCAAGTGTGTATTGCGGAAGAACCGGGTCCCGTTGTCGGATCTCACGCCTGTTAGCTCATTTACGGATGCGGATTCTGTCAAGAAATCCCAGAAACTACAAAGTGCCCAATGCTCCATAAATTCCAAAAGCTCCAAGAAATCGAGTAATGGGTCGGGAAAGTCAACAAGATCGAGTTATCGGTCCGAAGTCCGAGGTCTTCCATCTGTTCGAAGGTCTGCTAGGTTATCTAAAACCTCTGTTCGAAGGTCTGCTATGTTATCTCAGAAAAGTGCTGAAAAGACTGATCTCGCTGGTAGTGTGGAAGTTTTTGCTTCTGCTGGACCTAAGGAGATGTGTTCATCAAATGGGGCTAATATGGTTGTGGTTGTTAATTTGCGTGATAGATCTTCGAGTGTGACGGAAAAGAGGGTGAAGCGGAGCTCTAAAAAGGTTGATGACTCTGGAGTTAGGGCAGACCCTGGGAAGGGTTGTAAAACTCTGAGAAAGTGCAATTCAGTTGGAGATAGGGATGCAGCGAATATATCAGATAGAGGGCAAGCAGGCCGGGATGCCAATTTTTCTGTGGTGTATAAAATTGAAAAGAGGGTTACTCGTAGCGCCTCTAGAGAAATTCAAGATGTACGGAGTTCAGAATCTGGTGACTTTAGGGATTCATCAGATGATGGAAAAGCGAGGCTAGATGGAATTTCAAGTGGAGATCCAAATGATAGAAATAAAGATATGAGAGCATGTGTTCCCTCGGCAGATGTAGTTGGAGGAAGAGATGGGATTGGCAGTCTTGAAGCCGAAAAGGAAGAGACAGGTGCAAAAAGGAAGAAAGTCCAAGTCAGGGAAGAGCTTGTAACAGTTGAGGATGGATGGACAATGGAACAGGAATTGGCACTTGAAAGAGCTTATTTCGCAGCAAAACCAACACCTCATTTCTGGAAGAAAGTCTCCAAGATGGTAATGTGATTCATCCGATTACTTTGTTATTTCTTTGCTGTTTCTTGGTTTTCATTTGTAGCCAATTTTTCTACCTTATGAATATTCAATTCCTGAAAGTGCGGGGAAAACTTGGGTGTAACCTTGAGCATAAAACCAAAGTGGGGCTGAGTATTTAATTCCGGACTTGAAGCATGAGGTGTATAGAAGAGGAAAGCTTTAATAGCTGAAAAGATGCTTACTTGAGATATTCCATTTAGTTGGCATTGTCTTCTACATTCGCATTTGGATAGTTGTAGTTGCCCAACATTTTCAGTCAGCGTATACTTGCAAGTTACTACTGCGTATACATTTTTCTGGATAATAAAAACAATGTCTTGCTTAGACTACACTCTCACCTTGCATTATCATATTAGTATAAAGATTCTTTTCATTGTAAATTGACAATACCTGTACAATCTTGATATCAATTTAATGTTGGAAGTCTGGTTTCAGGTGCCTGGGAAATCTGCAAAGGAATGTTTTGATAAAATCCATTCTGAGCTTATGACCCCACCCCCTCCTCGAACACGATCAAGGACAGTGACCTCAAAGTCACCCCTCCCCTCTGTGAGTGAATTGCTGAATTCTTCAGTTCTGGAAACAAAGAAGAGAAAATACAACAAGCCAAAGAGTCACCTGGCACATAAAAAAGTGCGACAGCTACTTATTAGACAGTGCAACATAGATGAAGATAATGATGCAGATCTTTTCAGTGTTCTGGAGCAGACTTTTGATCATCCTACTCAAGTTGTTCAGGATGATGAACAATTGCTAACCCCTGAGCGCCACGTGGAAGAATCTTGCTTTGGTGAAAGGTGGGTGGAGGAGAGTTTGGCATCGGCCTCTGGAAAGCAACTTTCACGATTAAGCAACTCAAGCAAAGCTGCTGTTCTTACTAGTCCTCCAGTTCTGAAGAAAGTTAAAAATAAAGTCTTGCATGAGAAATATATTGATCAATTACATTCTAGGGAAGCTAGGAGAAAAGCGGCATCATTGAGGGCCGCAAAAAGCAATAAGGGGGGAACTTGTGCCAAAGAAAATAGAGTTCAAAAAATGGAGGCAGTTAAAGATGCAAAGAATGCTCTCATCTTTTGTGCAAAAGATGCCATTGACCAGTTTCACCATCTTCAGGGCAACACGTTGAATGACTTTGATAATACATTCGATTATTCCACTGCCAGTTCTGAGCATGAATCTGAAGATGATTCTTGACAATTTCAACAATCTCAGTTGTTAGTAATGGCATGTTAATTGCTTCACTGTCTCTTGAAGGACATAAAAGTTTCTGTCTGTGTTGAGAACTCTAATGTTTCTTCCCTAGGTACTGTAGAAGTTATCCATGCATAGATTTTAGTCTTGGTGAATGTATTGAAGTTTAGGCGGGAATGATTACCTTACATGGCCTCATAATACAGTTTCGGTTGTATATAGAAAATCTTTTTGCACGTGTTCGAAATTCTGCATGTCGGATGACAGTATAGCTTTCAAGTTTCTCTTAGTCATTGTATCACTGAGGAGCTTCCAAGGTATTGCCTCAGATTGGAATGACCATGATTCCAGCATAGTAAGGTGAGAAAATGTCTCTCTAAGAGAATGACATATTACACTGGAAACCTCTTTCTTCAATTTGTTTTTTCTTTTGCATCTCAATAGTCATGTACGATTTGTTTTGGACTACTCTAGTTTACCTAGACAGAGAAATGGAAACACAATGGAGGAGTTGGATACTGCACTTTTGGCTCCTTTTCTCCGTCCTCTGTTTCTCTCGTCTCCCTATATCAGCCTAATGAACATATTAATTACTTCCAGGGAGTGCATGAAGTATGCTTAGGATCCAAGGATATCTTTGAACAGCTGTTTGATGGAAAATTGTGGCTTTTACAGGTTGCCAGGCTGATTTGTTATCCTAACCCCCAAAATTTTGAATATTTTGGAATACAAATCAAGTAGTGCAACAATGAAATATGCCTTAATTAGGTTCTTTACAAGCACAAATGTACTGCTTCTGCTCAGCCTAGTGCCTACCACTCAGTCCTGCACACATGTAGAAAGATTGAATTTATGAAGTTATACTGCATTAGATTTGAATTGATCAAACTCCTAGGGACCCAAGGCTGAACTGCATAAAGATTCCATCTCTTTTTTTGAAAAAGTTCATACAATTTGGTCAAGATCCATTCTCACCTCCATGAAATGGATCTCCAGTACTGTTTTTTTTCCTTCTTGGGATAACAAGCAAGTTATAACTCAAATCCATACAAGCCTATCTAATGTGGCCAAAATATCGATAGCTTTAGCCGCCAATGAAATTTAAAATTGTTAAGGAGAGGAGGAACTCAGTGGCCAGTAAACCTAATCCTCTCTTAGATATTCATTAAAGTTTCTTCCATGGATTTTCCTAATGGCCATCAAGTCAGGTCATTTTATTTAGTAGTCATGATCTGCAACATTCAGATATCATCACTATGTACATCCTCTTAACATTGTAACCCTCAGAACATTGTAAAATACGAACTTTGAACAATGTCCATGATTGGCTGTGCAGAAGTAACTTAGATCTACTGATTCTGCAGCATGCACATCTTTTCTACAGGCATTTCCCTCCATAACCTGCATTTCTGAACAATGCTTGCTTAACATCTTCAGGAGCCAAAATTCTTCGATGCTCTGTCACCTAAATGATTCATAAGACGACGAAATGAAATTAAGAAACAGGTTAGGGTAGAAACACAGCAGAAAAAGAAAAAAAATGGATACAACTGTATTCACCAAGAAATTAATCAAATGCATACCTCTGAGCAGGTGGCTTGTACTGAGAAATCACTGAAACAGCTGATAACACATTGTTGAATGTCAAGTCCTAATGCTTCCAATGTGCTCAGTGTCGACATTAGAAGTCCTGGCTTTGATGCGCAACACAGTTCAATCTGAGTATCAAGATTCCTCCTTTCCACAGCAAACTGATGATGAATTATTCCAACATTGAAAAAGGTGAACTTAATTATGGAAGGCTGGGAACAGAAAAATATTCAGGAAACAATGCCCTGAAGGCTATAGATATTAGTGCATGATTGTACCTTTGGTGCGCTTCCGGCGTATACTTCATCTGGCTTTAGCTCCGTCAAGTTTCTCATCGCATTCATCAGGTTGGTGTTCTTCTCCTTCACACTCTCTTCATGTAACTTCTGAATTTTATCCAAAAGATCTTTCATGTAATCTATGGTACTACTCAGAATGGATGTTCTGTCCATCTGTTGAATACAATACGTTTTAATTTTTAATCAATAGTAGTCAAGTAGAAGAGAAAGCATTACTCCCTCTAAAATTTTCTATGCAAACTAGATTAGAACCAACAGAATCAGCATGCGATTCCTGTAATTTACCTTGCTAACTTTAGGAACAATGGATCGAAGCATGGAGAGCCGTTCATTGAGCCGCTTCCTTCGCCGTCTTTCTGCCATTAGGTTTTTGGAGGGTTGCTTCTCAACTTCCCTGACTTCACTCTTTTGCTCCCCAAACAAGTCCATTTTAGACAAGGATTCATCCATGATTGGTGGCACGGTTTGTTCTTCCTCCACCTTGCAGACACCATTTTCGCCTTGACCAAAGAGGCCAACTTGAACATCTTGTATCATCCCTGCATTCCCTGATCCAATTGTCATTGGTGTTAGATTGCGATATTGCTTGCAGTGATCAAAACATGGATCAAATTCAGCCGGGACAGCGATCCCATCGAGGCGCGAAATCTGCTCACAGTGAGGAAATGCATACTGATCAGATTCTAGCTCAATGGGTGAAATTAGTCCTAGGCCTGAGGAGCTTGAGCTTGCCAAATCTTGGTCAGGATCATTAAATGCTGCATCAGAGTTCCAATTACTTGGGAAGATTTGATAATCCCCACCACCATAGAAAGTGGTCCAGTAAGTTTCCCGCTTTGAAGCTAGTATTAAATCCTCCAGAAGCACATTTTCAGTCTGCGTAAGCTCCATCTTTTCTCACCAAAGAAAAGCTTAAAGCAAAAGGAGGGAAGCTACGTAAGTTGATATAGCATCAAGCTGAAGGTTCCTTTTTTGCATTATTGATTGCCTTTTATGTCTGAGTTATATCAGCTATAGCATAAAGAGAAAAGGGAATCTACTTTTTTTAATCTCTTATGGGCTCACTCATTTGAACAATTGTCATATGACTTAGGGTGTACTTGCTCTTTTTCTTCTTTTTTTTTCTTTTTCTTTTTTTCTTTTCATTTCATCACCGAAATCGAAAAATCCAATCAGGCAGACAAGACCATATTACTTACTCATTAGTTTAATTCTTCGACACTGCAACAAGTTTGACCTACTGAACAAGCATCTTCAATCCTGTCCCTTATTTTATACTCTCTTTTCCCTGTCTCAAAATATTCATTTTTGTCTAAAAGATATTTTGATTTTTCATAAGTTTCATTTATTATATTTTCTTAATTAAAAAAATCTAAAATGTAATTTCGTATTTAATGTTTTCTTCCAATTATTATAAAATAAGATTTTATTTCCAATTAGAAAAAAAACGATAAATAAAACTTATAAAAAATCAAAATATTCTATAATAAAAATAGGTGAAAGTGATTGATGATACAATGAATATAACAATTATTTCGAAATGAAGAACATGTCTGATTTTGACTAGCAGATCATTAGAATTTTGCAGACGATTCCTGATTTATTTTTTCCCCCCAATCTCTTTCTAATGCATTAGCCGAATTTCTCATGTAGAATACCTCAAAGTCTGGCTTATATTGGTTGATTGAGTCAATAGATTTCCTCGAATTCCGTTGCTTTTAAGAATTGAAAACTTTATTTGCCGACTGTTCTAGTGTACGTATGTGTTTGTTTGCTTTCATATCACTAATTATTTTAATCAATTCCTCTGTGAATAGTGGTTAAACTTGATCACTTTCCAGCCTTTAGGCTCAATTCCAGAGGAGAAAGAGTTTCATCGAAAGAAATCAAAGATCAGGAAATCATCCTTGCATCATTGCATGGAAAGAAAACAGCCCGAAAATTGATTGTCGCACATCCTAAATTTCTGAAGCTACAGTCTCTAAGGCCCAAAAAATTAGACCTTAAATCCTAAATGCATAATGGAGTAATCTATCATTGCCAACTAGTATTTCTTTCTTTCTTTTTTTTTTTTTTTGGGTGTATAAACTATAGCACAGTCCGATTAATCAAAATTTGAGGCTAGTATGTTTTTTTTTCCCAAAAAATAAACCTTCCCTACAAATATTAATGCTTTTAAGTTGTATAAATAACGATCGAATGCTTCATTATCATGCCATTTGCCATTGTCACTTCAGGTAAAGAAGACGAATCGTCAAAAATAAATAAAAAAAATGAAACCGAAGCTTACAAAAGGAAGTCTTTTACAAAATTCCAATTGATACGGGCTAAAGGCTAACATTATCACATGCGTCCTCCATTATCGTATGCAATTTTGGACCATACAAGAAGAAGGTGAACCCAATATCAATACAAAATAGGAAACGCCCTTCTTCTTCACAATGTACAATAACAAAAACACAACGAATGTGTATTGATTACAAAGGACAAGAAATACACGATCATGCTTCCACTATATAGAAAGTACAACCCAAAAACAACCTCCTTAGATATTGGTTTCTCGTCCTCTCCTATTTGATGAAAGTAATGAAACACGACTCAATCATCACCACGATATCTCAAGAATGATTGCTTGGTTTCGAAACTTGTACCAAATCATCTCTTGACTTTTGCATATATTCGCTTTGCCATTGTATGGTATATGTATGCACCCTTTGCGTGTGAAGGTCACGTCTTTCATTTTTGAAAACTCATTTTTTCCATGCATGATGAGTAAATATCTAATTTTATCTACAAGTTAAAATTTTACTAGAATCCTTGAATAAACTGCCCAAGTCTTCGATTAATCATTTTCTAAAATAAAAGAAAAAGGTAGAATATCCATCGATTAAGAAATTTTGTGGATCGCAGCCTTAAACTTATGTTCAGGCTACCATTAGCCCATCTATATTCTTTCACCAACCCACCTAGAATCGTTGCAATGTATTGTCACAGGATTCAAAATGTTTTCACAAAGCAAAACCAGAAAGGGCCCGATAAAGGCCCCATCTTTTAAGCTGTTCCTTCGATTCGAAAAATAATGGGCCCAGGTTGAATGTCTAGCCCAAGTTTTCTTCATCACTGTAAATTCGGAGCTAAGCTGGTGTTTCAATCCCCGGAGGCTGGAAGGGCACGACGAATTCACAGCATGGATCAAGTACAAATAATCAGGGACACGTTGGACAGGTTTTGTCAAGCATGAGGCCAAATTGTAAGCAAGGAAAAAACGGTATTAACCCAATATTGACGAGGCAAAAGCTGATCTGCTTAGGCAAATAATTAGAATTCGTCGGGTGAACAACTTAGAGAAATATTTGGATACTTCAATAATACATGGCCGAGTGAAAAATGAGATGTACACGGAATGGGTAAACAAAGCTAAACACCGGGTAGCGAAGTGGAATTCCCATCGAATTTCTATGGCCGGGCGACTCACACTTTGCCAGTCAGTGTTGTCAGCTATTCTTATTTACCTAATGCAGTCATCGTTGTTACCAAAAGCCATCAGTGATGAATTTGATAAAGTAAGGCGAGATCTCTTATGGGGAAGTAAGTCGGAAAAACGAAAAATAAGTCTTGTCAAATGGGACACTATGTGTCAGCCATAAGCAAGGAGAGGCCTAGGCCTAAGGAAATTGCGAGAATTCAACACTGCCTTCATCATCAAACTCGCTTGGGGACTGATAATGGGGGAGCAAAGTTTCTGGTCAATAATTCTGAGAGCCAAATACAATGTCTCACCAGGGGCACTACCCGAAGAGCTTTCAACGAAGAATGCTTCTCTTTTGTGGAAGCAGATTACTAAAGTATGGCCAGAAGCTGCCAAGGGGATTAGATGGATTATTGGAGATGGTCGGAGGATCAAGTTCTGGCAAAATGTGTGGATGGACAACACAAACCTTCCCCTCAATGCTTTTGTGACACAAACAATGCCTACTGAAGCTTTACAAAAGAAAATTGTAGATTTTGTTGACGAAAATAGTAACTGGATTTGGAGCGTCATTAATTCTTTCTTGCCACAAAACATTGTTGACAAAATTAGAGCCATACCTCCCCCTCAAAGCAACTTAGGTGCGGCCAAGCTGGTTTGGAAGCTAACACAATCCGGCAAATTCAGCACCGACCTCGGCATATAATCAGTTGATGGAGGAAGCATGGGACCTTAAAGACAACTACTGGGAAAATCTTTGAAAGTGGAAAGGACCAGAGAGGATCAAGATATTCCTTTGGTTGCTTCTACGGGGTGTCCTGATGACAAATCATGAAAGGAAAAGATGACATCTCACAGACAATGATAGTTGCTATCTATGTGGAGGAAGAGAAGATTTATTCCACATCTTTCGGAATTGCTACAGGAGCATGGAACTTTGGCGTAGCATCTGCACGACACTGGAACCAAATTTCTGGTACAAAACTGATTGGAATGCATGGATTATGGCTAACTTAAGCTCTTCTGTTTTGCAGGATAATTGCAAATGGCCACATTGGTTTGCTGTAGGCTGCTGGAAATTATGAAAAACCAAGAATGAGAAAGTTTTTAATGATACCATCATTACAGAAAGAACCGTGAAATTTTCAATCATTGCTCTGGTGAAAGAAATATGTCACTCCAACTTGATTTTTGCCCATAGGAACGTCAACCACCACCCTACAACTGCTTCGGGAAGCTGGAGCCCTCCCCCATGTGGCGCCATGAAAATTAACAGTGATAGTGCAAGAACAACAACTTCTGGGAAAGCGGCTACTGGAGGAGTGTTTAGAAACTGCAAGGGAGATTGGACTATGGGATTTGCAGTAAACCTGGGCTGTTGCAGTGTGTTGGAAGCCGAATTTTGGGGAGCTTTCCACGCCCTTAGAATTGCTTGGGACCTAGGTTTTAGGACCATTAGCTTAGAATTAGACTCCTCAAAGGCGGTTGATTTTTGACGAGCGAAGGCTTCTCGTCCGTAAACAGTAATGTTTTTTATAGACTTAGAAAGTTTCTTAATCTCAACTGACAGATTGTAATTATGCATACGCGACGAAACCAAAACGAAGTCGCCGATACCTTGGCCAAGTTTGGCTTCTCTTGTCCAGAGGGACTGCATATTTTGTCTACATCGCCGTCCGGAATTAAGGATTATCTATTAGTAGATAAATTAAGATCATCTCACGACTATAGGGATGTCTTGTAATCTAAGTCTCAAGCTTCTCTTGTATATTAAAAATAAATAAAATTCACAGCTATCTTCCTCGTCGAAATCAATGGCGGAAAGCACCCAAATTTCACATTCCCATAAACTAATTAAGCTTTCCCTCTGTTCCTCTTCCCATGATTCATCACCTTTTAGCCTTCCGCCCTCAAAATCCAATTCCGATGAACTTCGGATTCGAATTCCACAAACCCCACCCATTGAGGACAGTATAATGATACAGATCATGATTTTTCATTTCTTCAACCTATTTCAACTCCTCACACTCCTTTTGTCTCTTCAAATTCTATTTCCCCCATCTTCCACGTTTCTCAGCCGGACTTTCCTCCTACCTCTACTGAACCTCACACTTCATCCTGTGATAGACCAACTCATCATTTAATCAATAATCCTCTTGTTACTCCGCGGCTCCGTCAGATCACTCTCCTTCCCCTGTGCTTCCTAGACGTAGTACTAGGATATCCAAGTTACCCTCTAAATTTGATGATTTCATATTACTAAAACCTAATCCAACTGCTTCTAGTAGTCTTGTAGCCACTTCTGATACTTGCTTATTTTCTCATAGTTATCACAGTTATCTTTCTAATTTTTTTTATCAGAACGGATTTTATCCGCAGACTTGTGGGACTTATGGGACCAGGTTGACTGGTTAATAATTAAATCTCTGACTTGCTCGTATAAGGGTTTTGACTTTAAAACTTCGACCAACCGGAAAAAATTCGGGGTTTGACTTTGAATTTTGATTGGCCCGATAGGCGACAGTTTATCTAGAAAATAACTGATCGCAAAACTAAAAAAGAACAATAAAAATTATGAAATTACCCCTGTGCAATATTGAGAGGGGAGTGTTAAATGAATGAAAGAAAGTAAATGGATTAATGTTCCCTTGGCCCACATGGATGGATGGAGACTCTTGAATTCAACATATATATCTCATGTGCTACTCTTCTCATATCAATTGGTTGATTTTGAGGTGGAACCACGTGTGGACTTATTTGGGCCTTTAAGAAAACTAAAGTTTAGTACATGGCCACTCTACTTCTCTGGAAAGCAGATGGAATCCTCTGTAAGAGATTTCCCTGTAACGCCTCTTATACGACAACGTTTCATTTAGTTGTTGGCTTTGTATGTTTTTTAACTCAACTAAATATTTTATTTCTGGTAATTTTTCAATTTACCGGCTTGAGCCAAGCTAATTAATGTTCTCATCACCATAAAAAACTAAATAATGCAGAGAAGTACTCCCCGGCCATTGTCGTTCTTCTCCCTCTGCTTCAATACTTTTTTACTTGTCCATAGTCATAAAACAAAAGGATTTCAGGTTTGCAAAATTCTATAGACTTCATCAAGGGATTATAAATTGGAGTTCTTATTTATTGTTTTTAGGCGAATTCTTCAAGAATTGAAAGCCCTAATTTGCTCAATGGAGGTGAAACCATCATATATGAACAAATGATAAAGCATCACTAGTCACTCCAATGAAAAGAAAGAAAGTTAAAGTATGAATCATGCACCAGTCCATTCTCCGGTTAGCTTTGGCTTTTGGTGTAACTTGAGAAATTCTTTCTAATTAGATATACTGACTCATTTAGTTAACAAATAGAAAAATTCATAACAACAATAGGAGATAGAAAAATCAGAACAACAGTGGGAGAGTACTGATATCGATTTTGGCATTCAAAAAAGTGATTGAAGATCAGACATCGCCAGCCAAGTTCATCACCAGAGAACAATGTTCGTCGAAATTTGAATGACAACAAGGATCGTTTTTCTTAGGAGTTTACTTCGGCTCGGTTCAACCCACAGAAGTCAAAGAGAAAAAATTAAAAAATGAAAAAAGTAAATATATGAGGGGTCTAAATTAATGAAACGTTGTCATATGAAAGACTTTATAGGGACTTACAGGGAAATCTCTTACAGAGGATCCCATCTGTCTGACAAGTTGGAACAAACTACAAATATGAAAAAAATCGAAATCACCGGATCTGTGAAGTTGATCAAAGAAGTCCAGATGCATTGGCTCCGACCACAGCAAGTTCACACAGTTCACAGTTACTACTGATGTGTTGGAACAAAGTGAGTATTGCAATAAGGAATAGTGAGATCCTTCTGCCTGCGATATATTGTATTGGCACGTACGAATCCCCTCAGACCACGATGGGATTTCTGAAGTCATAATTCAACTGAGAAACATCTTTCATGTTTTCTCAGTGGGCATCTTTCATTTTTCCTTAACAGATTGAAGACATCAGAATCAAATCCTAAAAAGTATCAAAAGCATTAAAAGTATTAAAACTTAATGATCATATGCCGAAAACAGAAAAATTTAATGCTTACCCCAGCCTGCACCAATGCAAAGTAAAAACTATAAAAAGGACAAAATTACTCAATCCTTTGATCAGACCCATCCCCGTACTCCCTAGTTAATTGACTTCATCAACAACAAAAAGGCTCTTTATTTCAACGTTTGGCTGAAGCAGAGATCCCCGGCCAAACTCCGGCCATGTTCACCGCCAATCCTTCGGCTCCGGCCGAGATTCTTCAACAAACCTCCGCCTTCCTCTCCGAAATACTCTCCCAATCAGACCTCCGCCACCGTCTCTTCTCCACCTTCCTCCTTAAACTCCCATCATCAGATGAAACCACGCTAAATGCAGCACCTCCCCTTTTCGGATCCTATTCCGGCGGTATTGAAGCTACCACGCGCAACCTCCCCCATCAAATTGAAAGCAGCTCCGGCCCCTTTTAGAGTATGATTCCATCTCTTCAATTGGACGATTCCAACTTCTCTCTTTTTCCTTTTCGGTTGCACTGACGCTGGTTATTGTTGCTGGTGTAGAAGCCTAATGGGCCTAAGCAGCCAAGGCCACGAAAGTCAGTTTCTTCTAAGGTTATATTTGTTTTTTTAATCGCTATTTTTTGTTTAGCTTTGGTGTTTAATCTCTACTATTTTCAGTTCTAGTGTTTAATCTCTTCAGAATGGATTTAATCATTGGCCAATGTTTAGACCTGAGGCGCCATTATATGTAGATTTAATTTGAAAGCTTATATTTTTACATTCAGTTCTCTTTCTATTTCCTTTGTTTTGAATTTGTGTTTGAACAAGTGGGCGCCTCTCTTGAGCCTACCCTCCTAATGAAGGTCGGCAACTGAATTCATAGGTTAGCCTTAATTTTTTTGGTCTTCTCTTTTGAGTAACATTTTGAACATTTGAAATATGTTGCCGGCCACAATTTTGAAATAAGGAACCCCGCATTTATGTTTCTTTGGATCCAACAATCATATTTGACTCTAAAAATGGTTCTTTTTTGGTGATACTCTTACCGCTTCTAGGCAGTACTCTTGGACGGTATAGGATTCGGCGGAAGTTGCTGCTTTGGTTGCAGTAAACAAGACTGGTGATGAACAGCCTTGCAGCTGAACTCACTGGTCTGCTCTTCTTCTTGCGTATCAAATATTTTTTTTTCCGTGTCCATTGTTCGTTTGATTATCTTTTCTTAAATCTCAACTTCTTTTGGCATAGATTTTGTTTAGGTTTGGTTCAATTTCCTTTGTTCTCTTTTTTGGTTCTGTTTTATAAAGGGGAACTTTCCTGATTCATTTTCTTTTCAAATCAGGTTAATCAGTGGGTTCTGTGTTACTTTACTCTGTTGTGCGAACTGAAATGATATAGTCTGAATCCATTTTAATGATCTAATTTACTGCTTCGTCATTGTAGTTTGCTGGCGTTTTGAAATGTTTAGCTAAATTCGTATTATAGTCTTGATAGAATCAATAGAGTCACCTCCATTGGAATTCTGGCAAACTTTTTCAAAGCCTCTTTTTAACTTTTTAGGCGTTTGAAAGAAGCTTGAACCTTTAACATGTGGTGTATCCCTTACATAGTGGACACTGGAGGGAAGGATATCAAGCCATCTATCTATCTTAGCATATTTCCATAGAGTATAAAATTAATAGTAAAATGTCCTGCCCATTTTACTGCTGATATCAGCCTGCTTAGTGATGAATGTGTATATGTAGTCTTGAAGTGTCTGCAATGAAGTTTTTCTAGGGTAGTTCTATGCTATTGTGACAATCTTCTGTATATGTTTATGGTTTTGCAATTCCATGTCTTCTCTAAGGGAAAATTGCGGCAGGAAGCTTGCAAAGGCAGAAGTTAACTAGAAATGTAAGTTTTTGTGTTCAAGTCTATTATCAAGCTTATGAATTCTTCAGTCTACATCCTTCATTTATGATGTTGAAAATGCCCCATGTGGTTTGTTAATTGTATTATGTCATCCAAAATCAAGAATGAAAATTTAAGGCAAAGTTATGAAATGATGACAAAAACAATCCTCTTTGATGAATATGAATACAGAGTTTTTTTGCTCCATGGGTCGCCCATGCTTCTTGGCTTTGGGAATTTGCTACTCACAGTAGTAACTTGTCAGCATTCTCATCTCATAACACCATTGGGGGAATTTAATGGTCAATTTCCATACTGAATTAATCATATTGCGTCCATTCACTTGGTCATCCTTCAGTTTTCAGAGTTCTAAAGTAGAACCACTGACGATGATTCTTCTCCTTTGTTACCCAATCATAACCAATGACAAAAACAGCAGTATTGGGTGGTCTTCCTCGAAGAAATAACTTCATCAGGGAAGCGAAAACAACTATTAATAGCTTGTAAATGGCTTGAATTAGCTACGTCAGGAACTGGTGTATACTGTATAACTTCAACATGCACAAAGGCACCTCTGCTGCTTCATCTTTATCTTAAAAGTGAAATTATTTAAGTAATGTCCAATTCAGACGAGACAATATAAGGAGAAAAGACAATTTCAAGAAGGCAAGGCAATGCAGCCAATCAACACAAAAGTCAAAAATGTCAAATTCATTATACGTAACTTTTGCTTGAATTACGACCTTATCATCTTTGCATTATCTGATGCCTGATCAGGATATATGTTCAATCAAGTTTCCTCATTTACTGTTGCATTTTATCCAACTATAAGTTGGTCAATTTTTTTGATTCCCTCCGATATCCAATTCCCCAAATTCCCAATACAGATACGATTATGTTGTCAGACATTGTCAATTTCCTCTTGGTTTCACTTCTCAGTTTCACCATCTTTCTAAAACCAAGTTATTCTAACTCTCCAATCCAGTTCCCATGTGAACCGCCCCACGATTACTACCCATTTTGTGATACTAAACTCCCAGTCAAAACCAGAGCTAATTCCCTGATCTCCCTCCTTACAATTGACGAAAAAATTCTCCAACTCTCAGATAATGCCAGTGAAATCTCGAGACTTGGACTGCCGTCATACCAATGGTGGTCTGAATCACTTCATGGGATCGCCACCAACGGGCCCGGAATCAATTTTAACGGCACCGTCAAATCTGCCACTGCATTCCCACAAGTTATTGTCACTGCTGCGTCGTTTAACCGGACTCTCTGGCGGGAAGTTGCCGAGGCTATCGCCGTCGAGGCTCGGGCTATGTACAATCTTGGACAAGCTGGCCTGACGTTTTGGGCGCCGAATATTAATGTTTTCAGGGATCCCAGATGGGGAAGAGGCCAAGAAACTCCAGGGGAGGATCCTATGGTGACCTCTGCTTATGCATTTGAGTATGTGAGAGGGTTCCAGGGTCAGACCCGTGGGGTTACCCGGAGAGGAAATGATGATCAGTTGTTTGATAATAGGCGCTCTTTGGAAGAAGATGAGGACGATGATGAAATGAGTGGTGGGTTGATGCTGTCTGCTTGTTGTAAGCATTACACAGCTTATGATTTGGATAAATGGGGTGGACATACTCGATTGGATTTCAATGCTTTGGTAAAGTTTTATGATTTGGAGCTTCTTGATGGCTTTCTCTTTGGTTTGTAGTTTGATTATTTGATTAATTTCAGCATGATAATCTATGGTGCAGGTTACCAAGCAGGATATGGAGGAAACTTATCAGCCACCCTTCCAAACTTGTATTCAAAAGGCTAAAGCCACCTGCTTGATGTGTTCATACAATCGGGTAAACGGAATACCGTCATGTGCCAATCGTGATTTGTTGCAGAAAGTCCGAAATGGTTGGGGGTTCAAGGGGTAATTTATCCTTCAACTTTATGGTTGCCCTATTTCTGAATGAAATGGATCATGAGTGAACTGACTTTTATGTTCTTTTCAATTGAAACAAAAGGTATATCACGTCTGACTGTGATGCTGTGGCTAACATCTATGAAAACCACAATTTCTCTAAAACTCCAGAAGATGCAGTGGCTGTTGCTTTGAAAGCTGGTATAAAAATTCACTCTTGTTTCCCTTCCATCTTACCACCATTTGCTTTGCTAGCCACATTGACAGTGTTTGTTTTTAGGTACGGATATCAACTGTGGAACCTATATGAAACGTTACATGAGATCTGCGATTAATCAGGGGAAGGCTACTGAAAAGGACATAGATCAAGCTCTTTTTAATTTGTTTTCGGTTTTGATCCGGGTAGGACTATTTGATGGAAACCCTGCGAATAGTCAGTTCGCAAATTTGGGATATAGGGATGTCTGTTCATCGCACCACAGGGAACTTGCACTTGAGGCTGCAAGACAGGGAATGGTACTTCTGAAAAACAATCATAAGTTCCTGCCTTGGAATAAGAATAAGGTTTCTTCGCTAGCAGTGATCGGTCCACTGGCAAACACAAGCAACATTAATGGGGACTATACAGGTTTGATTGCACATTATACATTTATTTGAGATGATAATTACTCATATATTGTATCTGTTCAAATTGGAGTTTAGTGTTATGCATAGTTTTGTTTATCATCGCCATCCATAGATTTGACTTCGGTTAACAGTATCAAAAGAAGCGTGTGTCTCTTTTCAGTCTCGAGCAAGGAAATTATCATCTGAAGAACTGAAACTTGGTTTTCCTGATTTCAGGTTACTCGTGCAACCCAGTGACAATTCTTCAAGGTATGCAGAAATATGTGAAGAAAACATTCTATGCATCAGGCTGCCAAGATGTTTCCTGCAATTCAAGCGAGGGCATTCAGGAAGCTGTTTCTATTGCTAGAGAAGCTCAGTATGTCATACTTGTGGTTGGGTTGGACTTGTCTCAAGAAACTGAAGAACTTGATAGGTACAGTCTCCTCTTACCTGGTAATCAAACGGCTCTAATCAAATCTGTGGCAGCGGCAATCAGGAAACCACTGGTTTTAGTACTTACTGGTGGAGGGCCCATTGATGTATCCTTTGCCAAGGAAGATTCCCAGATAGCTGGCATAATTTGGATTGGGTATCCAGGAGAGACTGGTGGCGAAGCACTTGCAGAAATTCTCTTTGGAGACTGTAATCCAGGTATATGTTTATTGTCAGTAAGATCTATTTTACTGATTATAGAGCTGAAAGACATTAGCGTGTTTTAAATGGTCTGAAATGGAAATGATTTCCTGGCATAAACAAAGAAGAAAATCACCAATCACCTCAAGGAAGGAATTGAAGTTGCATTACTAAGGTAAAACCATTAGAAAAATCCAGGTTTTAATGTGTTCTTTTTTTTACACCTGATGAATACAGGAGGAAGATTACCAGTGACATGGTATCCTGAATCGTTCACCAGTGTGCTGATGAGCGATATGAACATGAGAGCAGACCCTTCTCGTGGTTATCCGGGAAGAACATACAAGTTTTACACCGGAGAGAGTGTGTACAAGTTTGGACACGGACTAAGCTATTCAAATTTCTCTTACAAGATCATATCTGCACCAACAAACTTGAGTTTATCAGGGAACGTTAAAGCCGAATCACAGAGACATATGCTTCTCCAAAGAGGCAGTGCAATCAGTTATGTGTATATTGAGGATGTTGCATCTTGTGATTCACTGAGATTCAATGTTGAGATCTGGGTGACGAATAACGGGGAGTTAGATGGCAGCCAATCTGTATTGATGTTCTCTCAAGCGCCGTACTCTTATAAAGGTGCTCCACAGAAACAAGTCATCGGTTTTGATCGCGTCCATGCTCGTGCCAACAGATCAGCTGAATCAAGCATACTGATAGATCCTTGTGAACATCTAAGTATTGTTAATGAGCAGGGAATGAAAATATTGCCTCTTGGTGATCACACCCTATTGTTGGAAGACATAAAACATACCCTATCTATACAACTATGATGCTACTCAATGGAGATCTTCTCATGTTCTGTTATTAGAGACATACAAAATACAAATGTAAACCATAGTTATTTTCTATAGCTCGAGTGTGGATTCAAGATCATTCCATTAGCGGTGGATTGAAGAAATCCTGCATTCAATCCAGGAAGATCAGCATCTGAATCATTAGCTTATCCTCACTTGGATTATGGACTATGATGGAGGGGTCAAAAAATTCAAAAATTATAGTATTTGTTTCTGTTTGTCTTGTTCAACAATTAGTCTCCATAAATCCGGAGCCAATAATGGAGTATTTCGTGATATAGTAGAGAAAAAAGGATAATGATCCCCAATTCCCATCACAACCATATTTAATGATCCCCAGCAAGCATTCGTTTGTATTCCCATCGCCCCATTCCAAAAGGAAAGTGCTATACAATTGTCTCAACCCGCCCAAACTCTTTCAAAACTCAAAATGCTTTTTCGTTAGGTACGCCCAAGAAACTCCCCCCCGGCTCTATAAACTATCTTTCAGTTGGTCACTTTGGTCCTACTAGGCTTTTTGCAATATATTACTCACTCACTCCCAAAATAATTATCCAATTTTTCAGAATTAAAATCGGATTGGTCATACTAATACTTTATCTTCTTGGTCATTTGATTAATTAAATTTGCCCAAGGGATGGGCAGGAAAGAAAATGAAAACGTTGTGGGGTTGGGCGAATTGGGCCCTTGGCTCCCATGTTATTTTGTAGTTGAAGAATCAGCGTCAAAAGGGACCCAAATATTTAATATTAATCCACCAAAAGTCCAAAACTCCATAGACCAAACACCCCCCAAATCCATTAATCCAACAAAGATACGGGTAGTCGGCTAGTCACACTTATCCTTTTTTTTTTTTTTTTAATTGATCTTGTGTTATTTTATTTATTTTTTTGGAAAATAAAATTCTATCCCCATAGGTCATATCTTTTTCTACCATAACTAATCAGAAAACACAAATAACCAATTATTTTTCAGAATATCTTCAAGGATTATATTTTATATTTTCCTTAAATCTTCCCTACATTCATTCTTGTAGGTTTTTTAAGAGGAAATTGGTCGTTTGCCCCCATCCGTGGGCCCCGACAAACGCGGGAACGATCCCCGGCCCTACACTTTCTCGCTCCCCCAACCCCCCGGTATATAAAGAAAAACCAACGTCCTCTTCCTCCTCCCCTTTCATGCTACTAGTGAGTGGTCCCGTCCTCTGTCGTGGAAAGAATCAAATTAAAACCGGCGGAGCGGAATCTTAATTTTTCAGTCTGGCTGATGATGACAGAGCAAAAAGAAGAAATGATGCAGAAATCCTCTTCGAATTTAGCGCCAATTCAGAAGGTGAAGTTCTTATGCAGTTTTGGAGGCAAAATTCAGCCACTCCCTAATTGGAACAGGCTCGTCTACTCCGGCGGGGACAGTAAAATCCTCATTGCCGACCGGAACATTAAACTCGGGGAGCTCATCGGGAGAATAGTTTCCGTTTGCCGTATCACTTGGGGAAGCGTGACCGTAAAGTATAAGCTCCCGGGAAAAGACCTCAGCGTTTTGGTCCCTTTAACCGACGATCATGACCTTGAGAACCTGATGCAGGAGTACGAGCGACTCCACCGGGATCGTTCCCCGGCGGCTCCGGCGAGTATTAGGCTCATTATCGAGGTGTCTGCTCCGATTTGGCTGAATTCGGGACCCGGTTCCGGTCTTAACCCGGATTATCTATTCGGATTCGATAAGGAGTCCGACTACAGCAAGTTAGTCCACGACGATCTCGAATTGGAGCATTGGAAGATCCCACGTGCCGGCGATTGTCAGCCCATTTCAACACCACCCGAATCGGACCAACAGATTGGCGGTTACAAATGCACAGCTGGCGATGGTGATGTGGCGCAATCGCAGAAGCGTGATGGTCCTGATGATGATAATGGTGGTGTTTCCGCAGCAATGCCGCCGCAGCAACAAGTGATTTACTGGATTCCGGGGACTCTTGCTTTGCCGACGACGCCGCGGATGGGGTTTGGCCGTCCGGCCAACAGTTGTAGTTATTGCTGGAGTGAGGCAGCGCCGGTGTACGTTTTGGTTCCATCCACCACAACTGTTTCAAGATTGAGATTGGCGTGAGACAGTGAGACACCTATTGTTGATCTACTTTTTTTTTTTTTTTCAAGTACGAGAGTTTGAAAAACTGATGCATAACTGCATATAACTTTTCGGTACGTTTGACGGATACAGTCTTTTTTTTTTTTTTTTTGGCAATTTGACGAGTTTTGGATTAGACATCTTTCTTCGTCTGTCCTAAGATTATTGTTTTACCACAATAATTTTGGAACCGAGTGTGTATATATAAATTTGTGAGCATTATGTTTTTTCGGTTTAATTTATTTTTGGTATATGTTCGTAGAAAGTGAAATGTTTTTTTGCTTCACTCTTTGGGGTAAAAAATTTTAAGTGCAATTATAGCTGTGCTTGCCTTGTTTTGGAGCCTAAGGATTAACGATTGATGGTTGTGACAATTAATGTTACTTCTTTTTCCTCCAATTGTTTGTGTTAGTGACTTTGTGTAATGAATAAATTGGTTGGATTACTCTGTTCTTTATTAGTTGTTGAAGTCTTGAAGAGAGTTGTAGTTCTTTTTTTCTTTTTTTGTTTTACCCTGCAAACTGTTGCGGCCGGTTGATTGATATGTTGAGAAGTTGAAATATACTTGTATAAATTTCCCTTTTGTGATTATGTGAATTACCTAATGACGTTTATGATCATCTACTTCATAACTTCATTTCTTGTTCTAATTATTTTTGTTCGTATTTATTTTAATCAATGGGATTTGATATATTCGGATTTGATCTCATATTTCATTTTTTTTCTTTTGTGTGTGTGTGTGTGTGAAATATCTTGTTAATAATAGTGAGTGTATCTTTCAATTTCTTTTTTTTTTAACAAAAAAAAAAAAAAAAGTGATTGATCTGTCACCTAAAACTTTTAGTATTATGTCACAACACCGCATAATAGTTGTAGCGTAGGGAAATATGTTTTTTTTTTCATTGATGTCGCAAAAGAAAATGAATTGCATCTCTCTTTTTTTTTTTTTTTTTGGGTTTGAAATGATGAACTATTGCCTATTGGTGTTGTAGATTATGATGCATTTGCATTCACCGGAATTTGTAAATCTTTTCAACCTCTTACATACCCGCAAACTTTCACTCCACTTTAAACATAATTTGGTCCCGAAACCTCTAAAACGCCGATTTAAACTCTTATCATGAGTCTAGAATCACATTTTCGCAGGTGATTAAATTGATTATGTTATTGCTCAAATTTCATGGTGTTAGTAACTTTTAGATGGGTTTTCCAATGCTACTGGTGTTATCAACTTTTTAGTATGGTTGGAGGACCGGTTAATAGTTAATACCGTTTCAAACTTCTCATTGCTCCGTTCCCCTTTAATGGTATCCAACCATATTTCAAATAAAATAAAATAAAATATAAAACCCAACCATATTGACTTTACACGCCTTTTTTTTATGCACAATTACAAATACTTAGCCTATTACATGTGGGTGGGATCTATAGGGAAGGGCATAGTACTACTAAGGGCAATTATAATATAGGGATCCTAGGTACACCTAGCAGTGTGAGTCTCACGCGACCCAAAAATGAACATCTCTCAATATTTACAACAATCCCATTTAATTTCCTATTTTGTGCGATTTTTGGAATTTCAAATCCCACCATTTCCTCATAATTTTCAATCATTAACCATATCCATCTTCCGCCCCATTCATCACAATCCGTCTCAAACAAAAAAAAAAACTAAAAAACTAAATTCTTTCTACAACGATTTGGCCAGAAAACCACTCGTCGGCTGGATTTTTTGGGACGGAATCAGATTGTGCATCAAATCCAGTGAAAATTGTGGAAATATACTCTGTTCAAGATGCGATTTAAGCTAATACGTGAAAAAAAATTCATCCACGCAGAAACCACCGATTAAGGATCCTGAACCGAACAGAAGTAGTTCGAAAAGTGAAGATGAACGAAGGTAATACTATTAATCTTTTGGACTATTGATGCGTTTTTTTGATGGGTTTTGTAGATTTACTGTATATGCATTCAATTATGCATATCTGTTCATCAAGTTTAAAGTTTTTTTCATATTCAACCATTAGTGTTTTTTTTTTGTTTGGGTTCTGTAGATGTAAGGTATATTCACTCGATTGACGATGTTTGTTCATCAATTTTAAAGTTTTGTTCTTCTATTGGATGTTGTTTTTCTGAGAAATTGGTAGATTTTTGTATTATTCATCAGGTTGGTATAGTTAGTCATTGTTGAAATTGTCAAATTCATCGTTTACCATAATTATGTAGTATTATTTTTTTTGATAAATTAGTAGATATTTGTATTATTTATCAGTTTGGTATAATTATTCATTGTTGAAATTGTCAGATTCATCGTTTACCATAACTATGCAGTATTTTTTTTTGGTAAATTACTAGATATTTGTATTATTCATCAGTTTGGTATAGTTATTCATTGTTGAAATTATCGGATTCATCGTTTACTATAACTATGTAGTATTGTTTTTTTGGTAAATTACTAGATGTTTGTATTATTCATCAATTTGGTATAATTATTCATCGTTGAAATTGTCGGATTTATCGTTTATCACAACTATGTGTTATTTATTCGTTAAATTTGTTCATCAATTTGGTAATTGGTATTCATCATAATTTGTTATAAAATTTGTTTTGGGATAATCATCCGTAAAGAGATGTTATTCATTGGGTCAGCAATTATTATTAATTTTTCGATTTCATAATCCCAGATTATTCATCATCTATATACATTTATTCATTAATTCATTGAACAGTCATTCATTAAGTTTGTGATACATTTGATATATTGATATTAAGAAACACACTAAAAAATTCATCACATCTGACAAGTTATTCATGGAATTTGTAAACATATTGTAGCATGAGCGAAGAATATCAGACAGAATCTGAAAGAAGCATGAGCGAAGAACAATAATCAGAAGCCGAAAGAAGCAGGATATCTGAATCTGCAAAAGGACCAAACCAGAATAAGTGTAGACATTGATATAGAGGGTTATTCAGCAGTTTTGTAAACTAGTATTATTTTTTTGGTAAATTAGTAGATCTTTGTATTATTCATCAGTTTGGTATAGTTATTCATTATTGAAATTGCCGTATTCATCAGTTTGGTATAATTATTCATTGTTGTATATCATCTACCTCATGAATTTTTTACTCCTTGTTTGCTACATGCGTTCCAATATACAACACCAGATTTGGACATTTTCCAATCTTTGAATCTTTTTATTGAAAAAAAATGCGCTAGAATTATAAGCAGCAAAGGCCTCTTCCTCAGAGTTGAAACATCGTCCAATTATTCATCAATAAGAACTAGTTATTCATTAATTAACGTAAGTATTCATCATATAAACGTAATAAGATAATACACCATAGGTCAGAAAACAACAATGAAATTCCTGTTCATCATTAATCATATAATACGCATTACCTTACGCATGTATATTCATCAATAAAACGAATACATTCTACATCAATCATCTTTCAATAATTGCATAACATTATTCATTGTCCAAACGTTGGTTATTCATTACTGGAAAAATACACATTGATTCTCTATATTCATAAGTCTCAATGATTAACCATAGTCAATTTTACTAAAATAAAATCCATTGTTATAAAAAAATTATCTTATAAAATAAAATAATATAAAAGCTAACATGATAAGCAAAAAAAAAAAATTAAAATTAAACGTGCGTAAAAAAAAAAGGGATAAGATCAAGGAGTTAAATGCCAAAAAAAAGGGATAAAATTATGGGGATTAAAAGCTAAAAAAAAGGGAATAAATTTCGATGATTAAATATGCGTGTGAAAACTAAAAATCTGGACTAAAATGATCACTTTTTTCTCCTAAGTTTGTGATACACGTACTACCTGAGTACACCTTACAAGGTGTATCTAGAATCTTAATATTATTTGCCCTGCTAAGGAGGAGACTCCATGTGCGCATGCCTCGATCTGGTACTCAAAAAGCCTCCCAATAGGTGCAAACAAACCTACACAAACTCAACACTGAAAATACTGTTAGTAGGGTTCGAACCTGAATTTTCCAAATAGATGTCAAAGGCTAAACCACTGGGCTACCCTTTATTGGAACTTTACTCTGGCCCTTAGTCCACTTCTTTTCTCTAGTACTTTTGTTTTGGTCATTGTTTCAATTTCAAGAAAATAAAGAGAGAGAGAGAAGAAAAAGAGGCTTGTTTTGATCATTGCTTCGCTGGCAAATGAATATACTTAAGTCCAAGATGTACCAAATCACCCATATTATATACTCAATTTATAAATTTTACAAAGATAGTCCACATTATATTTTGTGAAGATAGTTCATATTGAATTTTGTAAAAAATAATTTTTTTTGTCCCTAAAAAATAGCTTAAATTGAGTTTTCAAATTAATACTGATAAATTACACTCCATCTGTTCGAAAAAAAAGAAGAAGTTAATATTGATTCTTCAAATTATTGTACGAAATTGAAAACTTAATGTGAATTACTGTAATGTTTTTTTAAGACAGATGCAACGTTAAGAATAGTATAATTCACAAGTTGTTATATTAATTATTTTTATAGAATGAAGAAAGTATTTAGTTTATTTTTGGATAATGTTTGTGAACAACTCCATGATCGAGCTTACAATGTAACATGATTCCATAAAGCGTAACTGTGGGCTATAAGATGAATGTTCGTTCCATGGGTCCACACTCCACATCTCATTTTCACCTGCCCAATTTTCAAATCAGATTTGGCACCATATTACCAATTTTTCAATACGAGTTTTGGCATTGAACGCGATTTACTATTTTTAAAAAAAAATAAAATAAAAATGCAACGAAAGTCTAAAACTTGTCCAACTCTAAAGTCAATTTCGTTACGAATTACTATTACCATTACCTTGATTTGTCGGTAAAAAAAATATACTCCCTCCGTCCCATAATTATTGTCCTGTTGGATTTTCATTTTTAGTTCAAATTGTACTAAAGGTGAAAACCCAAACTGGACAATAATTATGGGACGGAGGGAGTATATAAATGGTTGAAAAAGGATTAGTATAATTTTGAGGATCTATCTGATAGGAAACAAAGCTATACCGTGGTGATTTGTAGAAAGCAAACAAAAATTTGAAACCAAGCACATTTCTTGCAACCAATATTGGAAAAAGGTGAGGGGAAAAGAAGAAGGTGACATCAAAAGATGGAGTAGGTAGCTATTTTTATGTGGTGCGGGCTGTTGGTGAGATGATGCCTACAATCGGGGGAGATATCTTTCAAATTTCAATTTTCACATTAATTAAAACTTTCGGTTTCAAATGACGAATTATATTTCTTTTTTTCCGGTGGAAAATTTTGGCTCCCGCATTAATAAGGTGTTTGAAATGCACTCAGCGTGTGTGACAGTCACTCCACTATAACTAACGTACATACTCGTATTAATTATTTCTTTCATCTACTAGTATTTTCTTCTTCCATCGTTACTATTAGTCCGTGTGGAAAATTTGGGTAGACTTTCTCCAGTGATGAACGAACCTCCCAAGTATGCTTATCCTTATCCTGCTCAAGGTACCAACTAGCTTTGTACTTCTCTTCT